TCACTGCTTTCTTATGATAACACTGAGATTTGCCATCTATGCTTTCCAATAAGGCCTAGGTAAATCTCGCGAATGCTTGAGAGGTAAATCCTACGTTGTATTTTCCGCGTTTGTTTAAAAATGATTTTACCACAAGAAGCTTTGCGGAATCATCTGCATGCCTTTTTTACTTTTAGAGGCAACCAAAAGCATCGAAGCAGCCGAGGGCCAGTTACGAAACAACTGTGCTCAGGACGTTGCGGGTGTGAACTTAAATATTTCGCCTACTTATATATGTCAAAGTAGTAATTTTTAAATCGCACTTTTTCGCGGACTTTTTAAGAGAAAAATGTGCATCTAATTTTAGGGGGCACTCTTTGCCTTTGCTTAGAGAACATGTAGATAAAAAGATAGATCATAAAATAAGAGGTGATTCGCTACGTAGTGTTAGTTGTCAGGGCTTTAAGGCGCCCGATAGAATTCTACCATACGACTTTTTATCTTATTTATTTGCAGAGAACCCGAGATGTTTGTCAGCCACGGCTGATAGTGTTACCGATAGGCGTTTGGAATCACTAAGGACCCATCTTGACACACTGAAGAATCAGACGGCAAAACTTACTAATCGGCATCAAAAAGGTCGGCGCAGTGCAACTGGGAGGAGAAGCTTCAAAGGACACAAGGTAAGACGGAATACTCAAAAACGACAAACCAGAAAACCACCTGTCCTGTGACGGCTTTCGGTACATTTTTCTTATTTATGCCTTGGTGTTTATACCCGAATTCGTTTCGGATGTCAGAATTAGAAGCAAGGTAATAAGCAAAATCCCTAGTGAAAATATATTGTTATTTTACGTAGGATGAAGTTTGCCGACGTTTTAAATTTCCTCAAAGAGCAGACTGTTTACAAAAAAGACAAGAATACGCTTGTAGTTACGACAAATTAAATGCGACCACATGGTAAAACAGAGTTCCTCACACTGGATGGTTTTCAGAAGATGCTTTATTATGTTTTAACTTATATATCCTGGTCTTAAGTGACATTAGCCTTTTGCGCTGATTCTTCTGAACTACCTATCTTCACTGACCTTCGGCAGGTGTCTAGAAAGACTCAAGGAGACCGAGTCTGATACTCCTATTACTATTTATACTACTGTTTACTATCAGTGTAGCTGAGTGATAGTAGTGACGGTACTATTACTGAGGCAATAATTGGTCTGAAATGACGCTGATTCAAGTCAACGCATGGCTGAAGACAATAAGTAGGCCCGAGGCACGCTGTTCGTATGCTCTTCAGGGCGCCAACCAGTGGGTTTCTGTCCAGAGAAATCTATGAGCCCAGCAGCTTAAACATCCCTGTCGAGCGTTGTACGCCAGCTTGTATGTCCTTTCAGGCTTTCGGTCTGCCGTACTATTGAATCAAGGATTACATTTGCTCCACGGTGTACACGTTCAGAGTTGGCCTCACTTGCCTTTTGCTGGCCCATATTTTTTGGCGTAAAATTTCTTCCACAAAATTTAGCTGCTGCCTGGCGTGTGTTCATGGTTTCTGCTTTGAAGTTTTGTGCGGGTATACACGTAGTTCGTTAGGAAAATTAAAGTTACGACTGCCTGGTTGTTTTCATAACCAGGCCGATCAGTAGAAAGGTGAACTATCCGCAATTTTGTCTTTCTCAGATTTTTGTCTCATAAAAAACCAAGAGATGTCGAACATTAGGTCAGGGGGCTCGTTTTCGTTGACATAACGCGTGACCATTTACGTGAATTCAACTCAAAACGGAACACGCCAGAATGACGAAAGCAACAGCTGAGATAAAACACCACGAAGACAGCGACGTGACTTGTCTTCAGGGCCCCGAGGCCTGATGTGGGGTCACGTTCGAAAACGTGGTCGCCACAGTAGCCAGCCAGTCCGATGCCCTGTTATGTCTTCTGCTGTCACGGTTCCTTAGTCATGCGGTGGAAAGTACAGACGGCGGTCTCCTGCCTCGCACAAGTAAGGGTCACGCATTTTAAGGTAGGTAAAATAGCGCAAGCGCTTGCTGTTCTCCGGGAGGTTTCCAGTCCTTTTAGAGGAAACATTTTTATCTTTATTTGCTCAGTTAGCTCAATTTTTAAAAATTAGCGGCCTCGGTGGGAATTAAAACCACACAGCAGGGCAGGCTTTCGCAGAAACAACGCTCTAACATTAAGCTACGAGGCTTACCCTGAGTTGTAAATTAAATCACACTTGGATCGATTTTACCCGCCCGCCTTACTGCTCGTATGGAATCCACCATTACGGTTGCAGTAAGCCGACTGCCCAGGCAGGATTTCCTGAGCAATCATCTGGGATCACCAGAATGACTACTAGACTCACTTACTTGTTAGGGGGTTTGGCAGATTTGCTTAATGCAGTTGAACCAATTGTGAAAAATGCGCGGCCTCGGTGGGCGTCGAACCCACACAACAGGGGGGGCCTTTGCGCAGCCAACGATCTACTATTGAGCTACGAGCCTTACCACGAACCGTACATTTAACCACACTTGGATTGACTTTACCCACCCAACTTACTGCTCGTATAGATTGGGATCTTATGCAGCGATAATTTGTCGGTGGGCCATTAGACAGGAGGGGATCTGTAGCTGACTACTTATCACTTCCCATATCGCCTTGAGCACCGTGAATGACATAGCACTGTACTGAATGGAATTTTTCAACCGTTTTAAGAACAAATAACATGCACCTTAGGCTTAGACTGAGGTTATAAGAGGTTATAAGAGGGGTGAGTGACGCAAGTTTTGAACTTTGAATAAGAGAAAAAAAACCATGGACTTTAAGAATGCATAGTTTACCTGACCCAGTTTGGGAAACATCAGCGGCCTCAGTGGGGTTCAAACCCACCATAGCAATTGCAGGACTTGTGTACAATCAATACAAGTCGAGCTACGGGGTCCGACCGGAAGTTCCAATTTGGTTCATGGAATATTTTGCCGGCACTTTATAGATGACTAAAAAATTGGTTTAGATCTACCCGATGACCACTGTCAACCAAGTGAGTGAAAATCGCGCTATATATTGATTTTACCTCGCTTCCGTTTAGCCACACAGGGAGGTTTTCTCACATGCGCTTGGATAGCCGCCTAGTTGTTTGACCAATATAACCTGCCCTACAGGAGCAATGTTAGAAATAAGGTTCTCATCACAGCCGTCGGCACATCTGATTTTGGTGGACGTTCCTCCATAAATTCATGGATAAACTTCTCGGGAAAGCTCTTTTCTTGCAAAATGTTTTTAATGAGAGTGAGTTCGTTCTTCATTATCTCTGGAGAACGTATTCTCCCAGGTCGATTAGTGAGGCAGCCAACTTTGCCTTTTCAAGGGGATCCAGCAAGCAAACTTCTACAGCTTCGCTTGAACGCTGCAATCACGCGCACATATCCAGCAGCTAAGTTAAGAATTGTACTTTCGAGAACTCCTTTTCTTCGCCTTGAAGGAAAGGATAGGCTCCCGTTTCAGACCTCTTCAATGTGCATCTACGCGTCTACTTGCTCCTCTGGGACAGGTTATATTGGTCGAATAACTAGGCAGCTCTCCAAGCGCATGCAAAAACACCACCCTGGTTGGCTAAACAGAGGCCAGATAAAATCAATATATAGCGCGATTTTGACTCATTTGGTTGACAGCAATCATCGGGTAGACGTAAACCAAGCTTTTCGAGTCATGTATAGATTTTATTCAATTCACCCGCCCAGTCTACTTCAGCGTATAGAATTCAGCAATTCTGATACAACAGGCTGGCAACTCAAACAATGCTAAGCCTTCTTGATTAAGATTTGAGTCCTTTATTTCGTGATAAAGTAAAAAGGACCACTAATGTGTGCATTCTTCCTCGCTATTTTGCCATCAACTTGGCCACTAAGCGTCTGTATTGGCGGTGTCACTGATAACCCTTCTCAAGATAACGCATGCATAAGAGTACTACTCTGCTTCTTCCTCATAGGGGGCCGATCTAGGCAAACCCGCCAACCCGTCTCCAAAGAGACGGGATCAGCCGAGTCTGCGTTCGCGTGCACAGAAACTGCTGAAGTCACAACAGTACAACTGCTCCGCAGACCGCTATTTTGCCCAGCTGGGGCCTAAGAGCTCACGCGCTGGCCGTCCAGCACCGGAGGACGAAGCCACCTGCTGCTGCTGTTATGTTTGCGGCTCCGCCAGGACCGACAAAAACCGTCGCACAGTCGACGAAAGGAAGTCGACGTGGACTCGGTCTCGCAGTTACGGTCCCTATTCACAAGAGGCAACTCGTGAGAGCGCGCGGCAAGGACATGGCGATGTACAGCACAATGCTGCCGGCGAAGCACACTGTGGTAAGGTTGCTTTATAGGTGTACGCAGGAAGCTAAAGTCTTTGCATAACAAGAATAGTCTAGGGAGTTTAGGACAGCAAACTTATCTTCGACATATAAATCCGCCTGGGCGTAAGAACTAGCGGTAAATTTGCCGCTTGTCAAAAATAACCCACCGTTCACGAAGAGGGAAGAAGAGGGATTGCGCAACAATTATGGGCCGTTCTCAACTGTACTTAAAACACACATATATGGAATGGACGCGACAAAGCAAAGGGAGACCGGAATGGTTATTTTTGGCTTGTTAGCCGTCATCAGCCAACCATACTCAATTTCAAGGGTCGGAATCCCCAAGATTCTAATCCGCCACCTTTGGTCATTGAGTTTACCACTCTACGGGCTCATATCGGGGATATGATGAATATGTGGGCATAGGCGATCTGGCAATGGAACAATTAAGTTCCATTTTCGCCCTGAAGCTTACATCAGGCAGTCCCTTAGCGACTAGCAGGATAGGATGGAATGGATCTGTGTCTGTGGTGCAATGGTAAAGTGGTAAACTCAATGACCATAGGTCCCGGGTTCGAATCTCTGGGATTCCGACCCTTGAGATTAGGTATGACTAGCTGATGATAGCTTAAAGGCAGAAATGGCCATTTCGGTCGCCCTTTGCTTTGTCGGATCCATTCCATTCTATCCTTCTAGTCACTGCGTGACTGTGCGGGCTCTAAAGTGACCTCTAAGGCAAAACCAGAAAGTACATTGTTCCACACATAGATCGGCAATCCCCATATAGTCAACATATATATCTTATACACCAGTTTCAACGTCGAGAACAAGGGTGTGCACCGCGTTCCCCACAGCACGGTGGGCGCAAGACAATGACTCTTGGGAGAATTAGTTCATATTGGTAGCAGAACTGCATAACATCGGTCACTGTCTTTCCTGCTTCAACCTACTAGGCCAAGGAGCAAGACAGAGTCAGGATATTCGAGGTGGGCCCGACCCCAGTGATTGATAAAGTTAAACAGCCCGTCTACGTTTGTCCGCGCATATTATACCAGATTTTCATAGTAAAAAGTGGGACCGATTGGAATCTCAT